AGAGTTAACCGGTTTAAAGGTAACAGGTTACCCATTGCTATTATGGGTAGATTTTTAAAGTACAATGCTTTAATAAAAAATAATTTGAAAGTACATTGCTGTAATAAAGAAAAACAAAAATAGAATGTTATAATAAGAAATTTTATGAAAGTAGGTTGTTATTTCATGCATTTAATCCTTTAGTCATATTATAGTTAAATTGCATTTAAGTGAAATGAATTTATTTTAATTATGATTTTGGAATATATTATCTAGGGCCATAAACGAACCGAACGAACGCGAACATATGTTTGTTCATGTTCGTTCGTTTAACTTAACCGAACAAACGAACGAACACGAACAATAAACGAACGAAAGTCTTTGTGTTCTCGCCGAACGGTTCACGAACAGTTCGCTGAACGTTCGGCTCGTTTATAGCCCTAATATTATCAAAGCTTCATTTTAGATAATATACTATGTATTTAATTTAATTAAAAAACATATTCTTCTTTATAAAGAAACACATTATAATATATATATATATATATATATATATATTATATAATGTATAAATTAGTCATTTTTAGCTTGTGGTTTCACCTCTTAATCATTTCTTTCGTAAAATCATCAAAATGTCACTACCTTCGTAAGTAGCAAGTCCGCAATTTATAGAAGGGTCTAAATGTAAAAAAAATGAAATTTCTGAACTAGGTCTGCAAGTGTAGGGACCAAATCTGTAAAATAGATATAGGTCCCAAGTGACATTTCCTTGATTTGTGGACGTATAATGACTAATTTAGAGATTTGGTCTCTATACTTGCGGACATGTTTCATAAACTTACATTTGAACCATCCGTTAATTGTGAACCTGTCACTTGTTAAGGTAGTGACATTTTGGTGATTTTAAGAGAGAAACAACTAATAAGTGACGAAATTAATATTTGAAAATGACTATTTTAATTAACTTTTCATAAATATATCATCTCACTTCCAAAACAAATGTTGTCAATATAAAAAGTACATAATTTTAAAAACATGTAATTATTATATCTTTTAATTAACTAAAGTATAATTTTATCCATAATGATAGAGAGATAAATTTTCTACATCTCACTTATTTTAAATATAGATATAAATAAATATATAAATGATCTCTATGCATTGCTAAATGCCCACTATCTATTAGGGTGCGTTTGGTACACTGGATATGACAGAACAAAAGAAAACAAGGCTCATTGTTTAACTTTTGACAGAACTTTTTATGTGGAACAGACAGCAACAAAGTGGAACATGCATGTTCCACCTACCCATTGAACATGGTGAAATAAGGTGGAACAAACTTATATTTTATGGATATAACCTCAAAATAAATCTTTATTCTCTTTTAAAACACCAAATAGGTCTCCTTTTTACATTTTATTCATTCTTTAAATTTTATTTATTGTATTTTATGGTATTTAAACTTTCATTTATTGTCATCAAATTAATGATGAAAATTGTATTAATGATGTATTTTATTATAAAATATTTATTTTATTATAATTTAATAGATTATATAAACTAATCAAAATATATAAACAAGTAATAAGAGTTAAATTGGTTGTTTTACTTGTCTGTTTTGTCCAATTTGTGTCTTATCAAAAACTGAACAATTGTTATATCCTGTCCTAGATACCAAACGGACCCTTAAGAGTATTTCCAACATGTATTTCATATTTTCTTTCTATCTTTTTTTCAAATTTAGAGATTTATCTATTATCTTGTATTTTTTCTCCATTTGAGAGAAGAGTTTAAGATAGCTGATGGGGCAAATAAAATTAAAAGTAATTGTAAAAATGAAAGTTATAAAAAAATTTAATTACATATTTATGTTATTTAATAATATGATATTAAATCGAAAATATTCAACATTGGACTCATTCTGAAGGCATTGATTAGACGATAATAATGATATAATTTGTAAAAAGTGAAACGTATTTTTAATATTTTAGTTAATATACGATTATGTATGATAATATGATAATTGTATAAAATAAAAATGAAAAAGACAAAGATATAAAATAAAATAAATAATTAATTATAAGAATGTAAAGTGTAATTTAAAATTTAAAAACAATTTGATTTTAATATTATCTTTGAAACGTGAAAGTTTCATGAGAGATGTTTTAGCTTTAAAACTTGTACATAATGAATAGACAATGATATCTCTTAATTTTCAACATCTAACCAGTTAAACTGCTTATCTATATTATATTACAAAGCATTTGGCAAAAACTCTTAAAAACTTTTAAAACTCTTAAAACTCTTAAAAACTCTTAAACCTGTTCATCCCTATCCGATTTCATCCCATATCTGAATTCGTGTAACTAACTGCAGATAAACACAATCAAATACAGGATAAACATCTCATTTTAAATATAAAAAATCTAAAATATAATTAAGATAATCATTGAGTTCTAACAGAATACTTAATTATTATCTTTATAAAATGTTATATTATTAAACCAAAAATAAATTATTTCATTATTAAACTTAAATTAAATTATAAAAAAAATAATCTATAATATATTATAAATCATTTGATAAAAACTCTTAAAAACTACTTTTTATGCGTAAAATATTGTTTATTAATGCATATTTTCTTAAAACTCAAGATTACAAGTTGATTGTGCGTAAGTACAACTTATTAAAGCTCCATATCTGAATTCGTGTAACTAATTGCAGATAAACATAATCAAATACAAGATAAACATCTTATTTTAATTATAAAAAATCTAAAATATAATTAGGATAATCATTGAGTTCTAACAGAATACTTAATTATTATCTTTATAAAATGTTATATTATTAAACCAAATATGAATTACTTCGTTCTTGTACATAAATTAAATTATTAAAAAATTGAATTAAAAAATTACACAAAAAATAAGGAATTTCAAATAGTTAATTTGATACTAATATCGATATATTTTGGTMAAWTTTTTATGATATCTTCAAAYWTATATTTTATTCAAAAATAAAATCATTTTTTTTTTAAAACACATAATCTATACTATATATACTATATTATAAAACATTTGATAAAAACTCTTAAAAACAATTTTTTATGCACTGTATTGTTTATTGATGCATATTACTTAAAATTTAAGATTACAAGTAAATTATGCATAAGTACAACTTATTAAAGCTCCATACTTGAATTCTTCTAACTAACTGCAGATAAACATAATCAAATATTGGATAAATATCTCATTTTAAATATAAAAAATCTAAAATATAATTAAGATAATCATTGAKWWCTAACAKAATTTAATTAAGTAAATTACACCAAAGCACAAAAACTTTTAAAAAGATTAATTTAATACTTATATCGATATTTTTTTTCAAAATTTTATGATATTTTTAAATTTATATTTTATTCAAAAATAAAAATATTAGCACTTTCTCAAAACAACATAAAACCAATGTTTATTTAAAATTTAAGATTACAAGTAAATTATGCAAAAATACAACTTATCAAAGCTCTATTTTTGAATTTATATAACTAATTGTGGATAAATATAATCAATAGAGGATAAACATATTATTTTAAAATATAAAAAATCTAAAATATAATTATGATAGTTATCGAGTTCTAACAAAACAATTAATTATTATTTTTATAAGAAAATTAGATTATTAAATCAAATATAAATTACTTCGTTATTGTACCTAAATTAAATTATAATAAAAAATTGAATTAAAAAATTACACAAAAATGAGGAATTTTAWAYAGTTAATTTGGTATKAATATCGATATATTTTGTTATGCATAAAGTACTGTATATTTATGCATATTACTTAAAATTCAAGATTACAAGTAATTATGCATAAATACAACTTATTAAAGCTCGATTTTTTAATTTATATAAATAACTGCGGATAAACATAATCAAATAGAAGATGAACAACTCATTTTAAAATATAAAAAATATAAGATATAATTATAATAATTATCGAGTTCTAACAAAATAAATAATTATTATTTTTATAAAAAAGTTATATTATTAAACCAAATATGAATTACTTCGTTCTTGTACATAAATTAAATTATTAAAAAATTGAATTAAAAAATTACACAAAAAATAAGGAATTTCAAATAGTTAATTTGATACTAATATCGATATATTTTGGTCAAATTTTTATGATATCTTCAAACATATATTTTATTCAAAAGTAAAAACATCATCGTTTTCTCAAAATCACATAAAGCCATATTATAACATCAGATAAGATAAATAATAAAATGAAATATTAAAATCACGATGTATCTCGCTGAATTGCACGAGTACGTTTCTAGTATATAATATAGATAGGGATGCAATAAAAAAAAGCCCTAACATAAGTGAATTAATTTGGCCCCACAAAATTTCAATTATTCAATATGCACATTATATTTCACAAGATGCTCCACATAGAGTACGTCATTTACCCTAAAATCATGTTCAATATACAATTAATTCTAACAAACAAAATCAATATTAAGACACATATATTAATATCTTGAGAATAAGGGGATGTTTGAGATTCTTTATTTGAAACAACTTATGTTTTTCTACAAAAACAATTATCAACTTATTATAAGTCAGAAGAATTTAACTTTTAAAAAAACTCTTTATTATCAGTTTAACGCCGATATAAGTTGTTAATCCAAACACTCAAAAATATATATTACCGATATCATACCAGAATTAATTAATAAGGTGTTTCTATAAGCAATCCCAAACACCCCAAAATCGCTTATCAAAATAGATATTTCTTGGTAAACGAAATAAATTTAATATAATTTGTATCCAATCAATTTCCTCCTACTTGTTATAAATTAAAATTGGAAAACGTGGTAACCGCAGTTAGCAGTCCACCTGGACAGCTAACAATCACAAAAAAAATAGAAAACGTGCTCCCTCGTGTCTAAATCCAGTTGGTGATTTCAACGGACCTTCCAATGGCCTATCTACACAATTTGTCGTCTTCATGATCACCATCACATCGCCATTAAAATAACTCGACCACTCACAAGTACCCTGTATAGCATCAGATCTGCCTTCTTTCTCATTCATGATTTGATTCTTATCCACCAAAAACCCAGGTTTTCTTCTGTCGTCTGCTTAATCCAACACATTTCAATGGCTGCCTCTGCTTTTTGTGCTTACTATCTTGTAACTCGTCCTTCTTCTTCAATGCTATCTTCCTCATCCACTTCCCATCAACACCTTAAACGTTCATCTGCTTTATCTTTTCGGGTCCCCAAAACCCGATCTCGTTTGCGGGTCGTATCTATGCGCCACGAATCCAAAGGTATGTTTACTTGTATGCTGAATCATGTTGATCAATTTCACAAACAGTTGGTGGGCTTGAGTTTTCCTTTTGGGGGATTTTTTTTTCCTTTTCTGATTGAGAGCAAATGGACTAAACATGTTTTTAAATTAAAAACCCTTAAAAAATCTTGACCAATTCTTTCATTTGGCTTAGACCCAAATGCACCGTTACAGCTCTGATCTTGAACCTTTGTCGTTGTTGATTGCAGTTTCAGAAGTAACAGCAGAGTCATGGAACACATCGATTTTGGAAAGTGAAACGCCAGTAATGGTGGAGTTCTACACCAGTTGGTGCGGACCATGCCAGATGGTGCACCGAGTGACGGATGAGATTGCCACCGATTATGCCGGAAAGCTCAAGTGTGTTGCGATCAATGTGGACCAGGAACCCCGAGTTGCGGAGGAATACAATATCAAGGCGGTGCCCATCGTTCTGCTGTTCAAGAATGGCCAGAAGCTTGAGTCAGTGGTTGGAACCATGCCTAAAGAGTTCTTTGTGGCTGCCATTGAAAGGGTCTTGGCTAGTTGATACGCACCCCTTGACCCATGGTCAGTTTGGGGAACCCAAACCAGCCCACCCCCCTTTGGAAGGTTTTATCGTTTGTAAAGTTTAGTTATGAGATTTCCTTATTACACATCATATTTTGTACATAAATTATGGTTCTAATTTTTCAAATTGAGTTGGATATTATATAATGTGGTTTGAGTTTCCGTAACAAGAACTTTTTCAAGTGAACTTAACTTAAAAATAAGTGAATTTACTTTTATGTTGCATGAAAATTTGTCCTGGGACCTAAGGGTTTTTGGTATTACGGTATTCGTGTTGCTCGTAGGGCAGAATCTTCTGGATTTTGTCTTCAGGACTTTGGATTTTCCGATAGGTTCTTTATTTTTGATTTTTCAACACGTTCTTATCTTAAAAGTTTAAAATCTCTAAGAAAAACTACTTTCAACTCCATGAGTTTCTCTATTTTAAAGATCTCAACGTAAATTATATTATTATAACATTATTTAATTTTATCATCCTAATGTATTTAAAAAAAAACTTTATATAAAATATAATAATTCAATTTAATTGGTGGGACAATCATTTCTCTCTCGTTACATCGACGAGATGTAAAAGATCCATAATCCATGAAAATGCAGATTGAAAACAACAGTAAAAGGCAAATTCAGCTTCTTGAATAACATCAACATCTCAAGCCAATATGTCATTCAAAACCATTATTGCTCCAACATATATGTAATTCAAAGCAGGGGTAGGTAATGACAGTAGATCAATTTTTTAAACATCTTCATTGTTGACCACCAAATCATCATCCACACTTGTTCCAAACCATCAACCAACACCGGTGCTATTGATTTTGTTATAGCTGTAGATGAACACAGTTTGGTATGTTATCGTCAGTCTAAAGGACTAAACCACTTTGGTTTTGTGAGAATAAGGAACCACAAACCCACCAAAATCTTTCGGTTTGGCTATTCACAATATTCAGTGGTCTCAATATCATATAGGTAGTTTCGGCTTCAATTTGGATCCTACCTTATATATTTTAAATGTACAACCTTCCAATCAAAATTAAAGTAATCAAATCCAAATGATTGTTTTTGTATAATTTCAAACTCAAATGCTAATTTCATTGAACTACTGTTACTGTGTATGGGATAAATTTTATATTTTAGGTTTTATTTGGACTTCACTATAAGATTCATCTCATGTTTTTTTTTATCAGCATTAATAGGGAATTTCCTTATTAGAAATATGTTATATACATAAAGCAAGTATAAATAACACCACGACATCAATCTCTTAAAATTAATGGGTGGTGACTAAAACCAAATCTTCAACAACAACGAAAACAAACATGCATACACACATGTGACAATATATATATATATATATATATATATATATACTTGAGATCACGTGAGACCAGCCTGTTTTCGTGAGACCCGTGAGACCAACTTTTTACACTTGAAACTTCACAACAAAATGCTGTGAAAGTAACCTTCACAGTGTTTTTGCTGTGAAGGTTCGACTTTTTTAAACTTTCACAGTGTTTTTGCTGTGAAGTTTCAAGTGTAAAAATGTGGTCTCACGAAAACAGTCTGGTCTCACGTGAACCTAACCCTATATATATATATATATATATAGAGAGAGAGAGAGAGAGAGAGAGAGAGGGAAGATCAAATGTTAACCATCATTTTTGTGTTAACTTTGAAAACCCTCTCAACCAATCAAATTTCATTATTCTTATAGGTTTATGTCTTGTTCATTTTACCCCTTACAAGGGTATTCTAGTAAATTGAATTCATTTGTAATCCCAAACAATTAATGGGGAGTTACAAACAATCAAATCCCAAAAAATATGCATTCATATTATTAATTTTTTTTACTATTGATCTTCCATGTTCATTCTTGTATGAATTCCTAAATCGCATAAGAAAACACGGTAGTAACGATTTTCGGTATTGATCAATTTGAATACAAATGAACCGTGAACACAATTTGAACACAAATGAACAACCGTGAACACAATTTGAACACAAATGAACAACCGTGAGCACAATTTGAACACAAATGAACAACCGTGAGCACAATTTGAACACAAATGAACCGTGAACACAATTTGAACAAATTAACAGATGCTACCTTAATTTTGTGGGACGTCTATGTATGTGAATATATGGGCCAAAAATTGCACATATCGTGTTCACGGTTGTTCATTTTTGTTCAAATTGTGTTCACGGTTCATTTGTGTTTAAATTCATCAATACCGAAAATTGTTACTACCGTGTTTCTTATGCGATTTAGGAATTCATACAAGAATGAACATGAAAGATCAATAGTAAAATAATAATAATAATAATATGAATGCATATTTTTTGGGATTTGATTGTTTGTAACTCCCCATTAATTGTTTGGGGGTTACAAATGATAAATGTATTTTTTTTCTCAAAATGCCACTTTCATCATTGTTCACTAGGCCTCATTAAAATTCAAACTTTAAAATTTAATTTTTTTATTGATTAATCTTAACCGTTGATTATAGATTTGGATGACCAAGATCAGTTAATAAGGTTAACACAAAAATGATGGTTAACATTTGATCTTGGCCTTATATATATATATATATATATATATATATATATATATATATATATATGAAACGATGGCCATGATGAATACACACACAAAAGTCAACAGAAAATGACAACAAAGATAAACTTCAAGATATATATATATATACATATATATATATATATATATATATATATATATGAAACGATGGCCATGATGAATACACACACAGAAGTCAACAGAAAATGACAACAAAGATAAACTTCAAAGACTCTCCAGATCCCGAGATGAGTTCAAGCAGCTTCCCAATGAAAAGGAGACAACAAATGTCTTGAAGCATTATGCATACACTGTTTATAAATGATTTCTTTCCCCTTTCAAATGTAAGATAACTACAAATACAGATCTAAAAAGGTGCATACCCCATATAAAGTTACTAACCATCGTGAAGTTGCAGGTTTGCTCCCATATCGTAATATAGTTCAATACCGAGAGAATTTATAGTAACATATGAATGCTAATATGTCAACAAAGAAATCTATCATATAAGCAATATAAGGGAGTTCAAGCTACACTTAAACACACACACACACACAAAGGATTTGAAGAGAGTCGTGAATTCAACACAACTAGCTAAAAGACTCTAAAACTGAGATCAACTCTATTAAACTTCTTACTTGATAATGTTAAAAGCCGGAAAGAAACTGCATAAAGCTAAGTGTTGAGTTGATTTCTCAATGCGTATCCGGCTGTCCCATTTGAAGTTTAAGTTGTTTATAAACATGTAAGATCTAAGTAATTTATCAGTAGAATTAAGATATGATTTTATGTCATTTAAGTAATAACGTATTTATGCATTCGTTAGGCACGCGAACAAGTCGAACTCTATCGTGAATCCCGTTTGATCATGCTTACTTCTCTATTCCGCCTAAGGTACGGATTTCACTTTCTTTGACTCTTGGGCAACTAGTTGTTGTAGTTGACCATTCGTAACGGTGTGTTGGTCCCGTTAGGGTCTACAAGATGTGTATAACAGTTTGTAGAAGGGGGATGATGAATACAAACACAATAAATTTTTCAAATTTAAAATATATATTGATAAAGAAGGATCAATACAGATTTTACAAGATTATTTACGGAAAGATAAGGTAGATAAAACCTATCTAAACAATCTAAAGTTACACACTAATTCTTAGCAAATAAAAAAAAGATTTGCTATAAAAGACTTAGAAGAAAGTAAGTTCTTTTTGGGTAAGAACTATTTAGAATACAATAAAGGGATTCTAACTTGCTCTTGGAAATGAGCGTATTGTGTTCTTAGATGTGTGTTCTTTTACTTATGAACGTGAGTTAGGGTTTAAGAGTAAGTATCCGTCAAAAATAGAGATGCATGGAGATAAAACACATCTATTTATACCAATTGCATTAAATGCACATTTAATGCAACGTGGTAGAGTTAGATTACGTGTCAAGCCTTTAAAGAAAGACTTATCATTTGCTACGATGAATAATACAAAAACTTATTCATAAACAAACATTCTTTAATCCGATATATATATATATATATATATATATATATATATATATATATAGAGGGG